CTACAATTCTCTATTAAGAAAATATTGGATATTCTGGATATATTCATTATTACTCTACAAGGAAAAGACACAGAGAATAACAACATTATCTGAATTTACGAAGAATTTACACTCTACTAGTTTTACAAAACATCAAACTATGTTTCGTATACTTTGTAAACTGATTTCACCACTCGGGTCTTAGGGTTTTAAGACCACAACACTTTTATATGCAAAAAATATAGGATTTTCTGGGGATACACTCTTTTCAAATACAAACAAAGGATAATAAAGGACATGCATGCAATTATACACGGTTTTGGAACGGGACTCACAAACTACTTTCATAGAAAATATTGGATTTTCTGGAGTTTTACAACTTATTATAAGAGACGATATTACAAAGTTTTTCTTACAAACATGCTTATGAACTCACCAACATTCTATGTTGACGCTTTTCAAAACAACTTGTATTCTCAGGGACTCAGTGAACAGGTACTCGAGCCTTGGATCTGGATTATTTTACTACCTTTTGAGCAATCCTACTTTATGTTACTTCTGTGTAATTGATAAACAAGTACAATTTGTAAAAAAATGAATGTTGGTATATTGTAATGTATGATGTTTGGTTGCTATGTTTCATTTATATTCAACTGTTATGATACTACACAAATGACGTCATCCGCCCCCAGGCGTTTCCGCCGTCCTGGTTCGGGGGTGTGACAAAAAATGACCGAAAGGAAGAACATTTAGGCAATACGTTGGTATTTGATACAAATAGTCAAGGGTTGAACGTATTCCAAGATAGAATTTTGGGTAACTAAGATAGGAGGAATAAGAGATCTTCTGATGGAAGAAGCTCACAAAACCATGTACTCAATTCACCCCGGCAGCACTAAGATGTATAGGGATCTGAAACTCTACTACTGGTGGCCGACGATGAAGCTCGATGTTGCGAAGTATGTGGCAGAGTGTGTAACATGTGCGAGAGTTAAGGCACAACATCAGAAACCGTATGGGAGTTAAAACCATGTACTCAATTCATCCCGGCAGCACTAAGATGTATAGGGATCTGAAACTCTACTACTGGTGGCCGACGATGAAGCTCGATGTTGCGAAGTATGTGGCAGAGTGTGTAACATGTGCAAGAGTTAAGGCAAAACATCAGAAACCGTATGGGAGTTTAGAACCTTTACCTGTACCCATGGGTAAATGGGAAGACATCACCATGGATTTTGTGACTAAACTGCCCAGGACAAAGAACGGCCACGGCATGATTTGGGTAGTCGTGGATCGATTCACAAAGAGTGCACACTTCATAGTAGCCAATGAGAGATGGTCTATGGATAAGCTTGCAAATGCTTACGTGAAGGAGGTAGTAAGACTTCACGGTGATCCTTTAACGATTGTATCAGATCGTGATAGTCGTTTCACATCAAGGTTTTGGAGGAGTCTACAATAGGAAATGGGTACGAAGTTGTGTTTAAGTACAATTTACCATACGCAGACTGGTGGTCAAAGTGAAAGAACGATTCAAACACTGGAAGATATGCTAAGAGCATGTACCCTAGAATTCCAAGGTAACTGGCATGAACACTTACCCCTGGTAGAGTTTTCCTATAACAATTGTTACCATTCGAGCATCAAGATGGCACCTTATCAAGCTTTGTACGGTGAGAAGTGTCGTACGCCGTCTTGTTATCTTGAGGCCAGAGAAAAGCAGTTTATGGGCCCCGAGATAGTCCATCTGACTGCTAAAAAGTTGAAAGTAATTAGGGAAAGAATGTTAGCAGCTCAAGATCGTCAAAAGAGCTATGCTGACAAGAAGAGACGACCGATGACATTTGAAGTTGGAGATTCGGTTTTGCTTAAAGTTTCACCTTGGAAGGGACTTATAAGATTTAGGAAGAGAGGAAAGTTGAGCCCAAGGTTTAATGGACCATTCAAAGTTCTTCAAATGATTGGGAACCAAGCTTACAAGCTAGAACTACCAGAAGAACTAGATGGTATTCATAACACTTTCCATGTGTGTTATTTGAGGAATTTCACGGGAGAAGTTCCCGATATAATTCCAATTTTAGAGTTAAGGATGGATGAAAATAAAAGGCTAATCGAAGAGCCTGAGGCAATTTTTGACCGTACAAGATGGTCGACTTAGTGCTTGTGTGATGGAAACATACGAATGGCCCAAACCTCACCTCGGAAACAGAGAGTGACATGATGAGTCGCTATCCACATCTGTTTGCTGATGCATGATTCTGGGACAGAATCATCCTAAGGAGGAGAGAATTATAACGCCCGTGATTCTAGGCTAAGCATTAGTATGATGATGTAATAGTTAGGATCAACAATTGTAACCTATTTTGAAGTAATAAAGAGGAATTACTTGAATATTTTGTGAATTATGTGATTTTATGGGCATTATACTAATTTATAAGTTATTATAAATTAAGAATGAAAATAAGCGTCAAAAATAAAACAATAGATAAACCCAATATCTATGAAGAAAGTTGTAGTGGTCGTGACAAGGATTTTGGAGATATAAAGAACGCCGAAATCCGAGTTATAACGAAGAAGTTATGACTTGTCGAAGTTTTACGGCTAAACCAGCACGGCACCACGTAACGTAAAAAGTGAATTTTTGATAAACTACTTTTAAGCCTTATCAATCTAAACGAAAGTCGTAGTATACTTTAAAACCGAGAACGTGCATAAAAAGAACGTCCAAATCTGACTTCGTATGAGGAAGTTATGATTTTTCTAAGATTTAGCATAGTTGTGCACAGCCCGGAATTCGAATTTTAGATCGATCGATTTTTAGCCGACACAACCTAAATGATAATTTAATATCTCATTAATAGGAGTTCAACGAAAAAATACAATCGAAAACGGAGTCCGTGTGTAGAAGTTATGAATTTTACACGGTTGTTAAGCAGTGTAATCTTCTCATACTGTTAAATTTAAAATCGGTCGAGAATTAGCCGATGGAGTCAAAAGGATAGTTGTAGATCTTGTCAATACCTACATGTGGATATAAAGAATGTCGAAAACGGAGTTCGTATGCAAACGTTACGGAATTTAGAAGTCAGGAGTGTGTTGTTGCGAAGAGGGTGACGTCAGACGTGGCTGAATCTGGGCCATTGCTTTCTCCCCAGGCCTTGCCACCAGATGGTGACATGTGGCACACCAAATCGACGATTTGGAGGCTCAAACTCGACAAGTTGGGCCATTTTCCAGCCTATAAATAGGATGCGAGAGCACCCCCCTTTTCTTCACACCAAAAGCCTTTCTTTCTCTCTCTCTCTCTAACTTCTCTCTAAGCCCTCCCAAAGCCCTAGTAACTTCTAAGTGCTAGAGGAAAGCCCCGGAGCACACTAAGGCTCCGAGAAAAAGAGCTTTTCGGCTCGGAAAGTTATGCCCCTGCAGAACCCGGTTTCTAACAAACCCCGTTGTAAGTGAGATACGCTTACCCTACTTTAAGTATAGCTTATATTTAAATTTAGTATTGTTATTATGAACTTATAATAAATATTTGGGCTAGTATTATGACTTGTATAAGTTTCGTTATAATACCTTTTTAACTACTCGCAGTACGGGGAATCTGGTTTTAAGGGCCGCATAGGCTTGTTGGATTTCAGAATAGCTATAATGCCAAAATGGTCATGTCGTCCGGTTTTTCATGTATGACCCCTGTCTGTACATAGTAGTTGATAAGTATTGTTTAAATCTTATATAAAAAAATAATACTAAGACTAATAATTAGTCACGATGAATATTAGACTAAAATCTAGTGGTAATAATACTAGGTTTCGTCGAAGGAAATTATATTGTTAAGAAGCGAAGCGCTGTCCAAGTTGGAATCACCGCTTCAACAAGTGAGTGCATAGTTACTTTCATCTTACACATAGATATGAATTATTCAACATAAATTACGTGATATGTGTGCATATTATCTGTGTTCTTGATATCTATGTTGGATGAACGATTTATACATGTTTTAAATGATTTAAATTGTATATGTATTTTATATCTACGAAAATGTTGGGTAAAACATGGGTAGATGAAATAGTTGATGTGTGATGAAAAAAAATGATGAGAGACCTCGATGTTTACAATGATCCAGTCATCTAACGGAGTATAAACGATGACCACAGACTATTCTAGATAGTTCAGCGGAACGCTAGCAGGCTCGCAACCTATAGGTGTTTATTTGAACTAATGTTCACCAGGTGTACTCCATCCCCCTCATGGTTGCCTTATTTGACATGTATTGCTGAGGAATCCCCTAAGCAATACTGTCACCCCGATGAAAGTCCTTAGGCTAGGTCCCTTATAGCATATGCTTTAGGGACGTAAGGTGAGGATAACGGGAATGGGTAATCGGGTTGAATGATTTGACGAAATTAATGAACTTAATTATTGTGGGTTGAAAACCCTATGTGCTCACTAGGCTCCCAAGCCTAACCCACTCAGTTTCTTGTATACAAGTAGTGGCAAGAGAGCACAGGAGTGATAGTCTGATGAGAGATCAATGGATTATAGGCCACTAGAATAAATAGATATTATAAGGCCTGTGTTGTTTCTGTTTATGATTTTGATTTGTATTGACAATGATATCCCGATGTTTTTAATATAATGAAAATACATTTCTTCGGAAATGCTTTGATAATTCTTTATCATATTTTTGGGAACAAATTCCGCAACATATTTCTGTAAAAGTATGCTCTGATTTTCAAATAAAGCATAAACAAATCGGTCTTTTCTGGCCGTGAAATTGGGGATGTCACACTACAATACTTCGATTTCATCTTCCCCCTCTTTTTTGGTGTAACCTTTACTAGTATAACTGTGTTGTCGTTAATTTCAACAACAATCGGTAGTGACTCCACATACGTAGTGGGTGACTCTTTCTCCAAACCACCAAAAAATGTTCCATCATGGCCATGCACATTATCGAAATCATTCACACCAAATTGTCTTTCGTTTTCCCATTTGTGAATTTTCTTGAATCCGCTCTCGGGTCATCGCTCTGCTACGTCTGGCCCGTCCTCTAGGAACCTTTGGAAGGCAGGGAGTGTGACAACGTACACGCTTCCCTTTACTCCATACCATAGGGCCTTTTCATCAGTTGTAGGGTTTGGTGGCCCAAAATTGACTTGGATTCGCCAAAAGGCCTCATCTCTAAAAGCCCGGCTCGGGAGGCGTCCCTCTCGCAGTAGAGTTCCAAACCTCGCCTCACTCTTGATCTTGCTCAATAGGAGGGCTTTCCCTCTTCTGTGCAGCCTGATTCTCTCTCTGGAAATGAGGGTGCCCTCGATTGACATTTATCATCGAATAAGGAATCCTTCCATGGATGAGAATGTTGAGTTACAGTACAGACTTCGTTGGCTTTCACAAGGAAGCACCTCGAAATTTATGAGCGATGATTCCTTTATCTCTTGCTCGCTTCGATCGAACTCTGGCGGCTTAGGGAAGAATGATGGCTCACTAACAAGGTCCCTAAATGACTGCTCAGATGGCCTACCTCTTTTTTTCCCATGTCCTGGATTACCGGATTCATTCTCGTCCTGATCCACCATGCTATTTTTTTCGAAATAAAAAAAGATTCTAGGAAAGGGCTCGTAATGATCTCTCTATTAGCATATGCAGAGGAAACCAGGTTCAATAGCCGGATAGAGTAAGAAAACAACTAAATAGAAATGAGTACTTGCTACGGGAGTAAAGAGTTTCAAGAAAAAATATCCTTAATGCTACTGCGGGAAGGCTGTTCCTGCTACATTTCGCTGGGGAAGAAAGAAGGAATTGAGTCCTTTCAACGGAAAAAGGGGATTTAACTATCTAGGATGGCAGGGTTGGTAAAACTCTCCTTGATAAATAGAGTATGGAGAGCTCGTGTGGGGCATCAACCACTGGTTGCGGGCCTGTCGAGATGCTTCCTTGCAGAACCCGGCTGTAACTCAATAGAGTGAGTAGGAAACCTTGTAAAGGCATGCACCCCTCTACCATATCTGTACAAATAGGCAGCAGAAGTTCTTCGCCTTTTTAACCTGCATAAAAAAAAGGAAGTCTTGCGCCGCGCATGATCCCGGTGTTGAGCAGAGCAAAGCGAATTAAAAAATTTGAATGAAGGCCGTAAATTTAGGAAGAATTCAATCTCAAGCTCAAGACTTTACAAGGGGAAGGTAGCTGGCAATCCCTTTTAGTCGATCTAGGCATAACACTTTCACCACTCTTAGGAAAGCGACTAAAGCAAGCCGAAATGTGCCGTTCATTCTAGTAGCTCCTGAAAAGGATTTGAACCAAGAAAAGAAGAAAATACCATAGTAGATCTATGATTAGTCCTCAGTCAGGATGGTACTGTCGAAGAACTTTATTCATGCAAATAAAGACACTTAGGATAGGAGACTTATGGATGCAGGGTCTGAAAGTGAAACCCCAAAACCTAAAATCCCTAATGCCTATCAAATAAGAGTCCTACCGGAGATCAGGTGCCAAAGGTTGCTCGATTGTGGTTGCCAAATGATTAACAACGCCCATTAACTTGTCTATTTTATTGTCTTGTGAGGTGTTGTGCTCTACGCCCCGACCATGAGCAGGTGAGATGATGTATTCTGCTTCCTGGAACTGACAGGCTTGAGGTGATGGAGAGCGTTGTTTGGGGGGGCTTTGTTGCATTGGTGGAGACTCCATCCCGTCCAAAGTCCAAATCAGATAACGCGAATAGAATGACAATTGGATCTCAAATTTCGTTGCTTCCACATCACGTGGAATGTTGTTTTCCTGCAAAATAAAAACATTAATTTTAACTACATATCGATTTTTTACTATATATACCTTTATAAGGAATGTCTAACTATACCGGTGACACGTCTAATATACGTAAACATTGATCGACAGTTAATTGTGTTTTTATTCTCCATGCCCTCATTCTTGGAAATTCATTTGCGGTGTGATGGGCATACCTCAAAGCTTCTGGAAATGTCTCTAAAATCCATACTTAGTATAACTTTAACATGTTATGATTTGTCGATAATTATAAAAACTTTAAAATGTGTAATATTAATTGCATGTAAAACTAACCTTAAACGGGAGGTGAGAACCGGTCACCGTATACTTCAACGTCTTAACGGGACCCATATTGGCTTGATCTCGTAAATATCTGTAGATTTTCCCAAACCAGAGTCATAATTGTGTTTCACTATACCTCCATAAAAACGTACCCCACGCAAACCTGTCGTACTCCTTATAATTCATATAAATACTACCTGTTCCAATTAGAAATATTATCGGCGAGGTCAAACACTACCAAAGGAATGCATATATTTGTATCACGTCCTATGAGGCCTCTCAACAAAAACAACATATTCATAAGCATTACCGCATCATCATCGCTACAAGTCTCGAATTCTGGCCCTTTTATGTAGTCTTCTATATCTTTCAGTCGTAAATCTTCATCTCTCAAATTTGGGAACAACCGACTCCGTAATGCATATTTTGTTTTGTGTTTTGTATTGATTACATCAACATAATGTAACATCCATAAAAATCAGGCCAAATTTAAACTTTTTAAAACATTTAGAAACCAACAGTTATTACCAATTTGTTTTCAAAACAGTTCTATATCAGATTATCCCAGAAACATGGTCACAAAAAGTGAGGAGCTGTACGATCACGCCTTTACCTTCCCGCGAACGTCTGAAGTACTTGAAACCAAAACAGAAACTGTAAGCCCAAGGCTTAGTTAGTTCCCCCAAAATACTGATACACTGCAAATAACACATATACAAATAACAATATTTACTGGGTCCACAACTTTACAGACTGGATTACCCTTGGGCCCACAACTCACATCTAGATTGCCACCGAGCCCACAGTACGAGTCTGGTATGCCCTACCCGGCCCTCAGCTCGTATCTGGAATGTTCCCGAGCCCACAGTACGAGTCTGGCATGCCCTACCCGGCCCTCAGCTCGTATCTGGAATGCTCCCGAGTCCTCAGTATGAGTCTGGCATGCCCTACCCGACCCTCAACTCATATTTAGAATACTCCCGAGTCCTCAGTATGAGTCTGGCATGCCCCGCCCGGCCCTCAGCTCACACCTGGAATACTCTAGGGTTTGTTGGCTACCACACGGAGTAGTACAACCTCAACCCAGCCCACATAATATGTCGACATATAACATAACTAATGCACATACAGATAATCACATAATAGTATGTGTAGTCCTACAGATCTACCAAACTAGCATAGCAACTAGCATGCAAAACTAACTCATACTCGACATAATACCAACTGCTAGGATAACATATCCAATGGGTCGGCATTGGTGCCTTCGACCCCTTAGTATAGTAAGGATAACTCACCTGGCACTGCTGAAGTCCCGAGGATGAAACTCCAGCTGCTGGTTGACAGATTCCCGAACTGCCAACATCAAACAATACCCAATTAATAATTGGGTTCTAAGCCCAAGGTCCAACTCACACTCCAAAGGCCCAATAGTCAAGTAATGGGCCAAAGCCCAACATATGGCCTAATTTTCCAAATTGGGCCCAGACCTGTACATGGTCTTTCCTTAAGGCCCATCCAATTGTTCTAGTCCAACCTCTTGGTATTCCCATGGCCCAATATCACATAATCACCGAGGCTCAGTTATGGCCCACCTATAGCCCAATTTTCCAAATTGGGCCCAAGTCCTTCACATGGGCCTTACCCTAAAACTCATCCAATTATTTTGGTCCATTTACTTGTTCTTGGATAGCCCATCAATAGTCCAACCACCAAGGCCCAATAGGAAGGCCCAAGTGAAATTAGGGTTTTCACATGAAATGACGATTAGGGTTAACTGTTGCTTACTTAACCCATTAAGGACTTAACCCATTAAGTCCAATATTGCCTTAGGTTAATTTGCCAATGATTATTATTTAATATTTTAAGTTTATTAAATAATTCCCGTGTGTGTCCTGATCAATTCTCAAAAATTAGGGTTTTATGCCATTAGGATTTTCCAAACCCTAATTAGGGTTTCCTACCCAATACTAGCCCATTAGTCACATGGTTGGGCTTTTAGGTCAATTAGGGATTTATTGGGCCCATTAGGGCTTCATTGGGCCCATTAGGGTTTCATCAGGCCCATTCTCTCCAAGCATCCCAAACGAGTCAATACGCAAGCTAGGCACACCGCCACCCAACACGGCGGCTCGTGGCGGCAGCCACCACCGTTTAGAGTTTTCTTACTATTCTGATTGATTACAATGTGACAACATAATATCCAAACACACACTAAGCTACACACACTCATAAATAACACACACATACACACACACAGCCGCTCTGTGGCGGCAGGCGGTGGTCGGAGGTGCTAGCCACCACCTCACAGTGGTGGTGGCGGCTCACCTTTGATCGCAAATTACACAACACACACACACTCAACGCAATACAACAACAGTACACCACACACCCGACTTATGAGACACGAACACAACCTCCTTTCATGGCGATATGTGGCGGAGTAGCAGCGGCTAACGATGGCAGCCACCATGGCCGGCTGCCATGGTGGTTTGTCTCCATTTTTTGTCAAGCGAGCATCCTTATTACCACACAGCTGAAACACGCCCTTAGACTTTTTCTTGGAAAAATAAACCCAACACCCGCCTGTGGTGGGTGGCGACGGCGGCAACACAGGAAACAGCAGCGGCTATTGGCGGCAGGTGGAGTTGGGATGCAGCAACCAGAGCCATGGAAGGAGGGAACGAGTAGAGGCCACCATGAACAACAGCAAGCTAAATGCCAATCCTAGCGGCGACTCCGTCGGGATTGCAGCGGTGGTTGGGACGTTTCCTCGACGTCTCTTCGTCGACAGCTTGGAGCAACAACGGCGTTGGACGCTCTGGTGCTTCTCGGTGGTTGATGACAGATGTTCCGACTTTGACAGGTAAAGGGGTGGCAGCCGGACATAGCAGCAATGGGTGTGGCGGCTGGAGGTTAAGGGAGGTATAAGGAGAAGTGGCGGCTGGTGAATCCGATTAGGGTTAGGGTTTAGTGGCGATGCATGGTGACAGGTTTAATACCCGATCATCTCCAATTTTCTTCAATCTACACCTTTGGCCCCTCCCTCCCAATTCCTTTTCATTATAAGGCTATAATTTACAACTCAGCCCCCATCATCCAAGATTTATAACAATTCAAGTCCCAAAAGTTACCATATAGATCCTCCATGACAAATTCTTTTCAACTTAGGTACATAATTTACCCTTTTAACCCCAGCCAACCAAAATCCTTTCATATGAAATCCAAATGATACCAAGCACCCCCTGGCTTCTAAAATCCTTTGCAAAATAAACCCCGAAATTACACTTTAACCCCCGGAACTTCAATTCTTGTCATCTGGCTTCCCGAAACCAACACCCCGCTAAATATTATTTGATTTTGGACAATAATAATATAAAATAATAATAAAATTACATATCGGGGTTCCGGATTTATTATTTAATTATTCTACTTTAAATGGAATGTTACAACTCTCCTCCACTTAAATTTGATTTCGTCCTTGAAATCATTTCTTATCATTCCTTACACGCCA